TGAAGATGATCATGATGATGATGCTAATGCTGTTGATACTAATGATGATGATGATTAGTATTTATAAAATTGTAGTAGACTATGTTATATCAGCTATTCTGACCTCCTAAACCTAGAGTAACTCCTAGCCTTCCCCGTACCAGGACATAGTAACTCAGAGACAATACCAACCTAACCAACTTCACCCAAAGCTGATCTTTTCTCGCCACCTAGCAGCCCCCCGGTTCGCCACTGGATTGCCTTCCTCGCTCGACAAACCCCAGATCTCTCTACAAAGCCTCACACTCCTGCAATTTGCAGGTTACAGGGCAACGCCCCAGCTCCGGCCAGCGTCGTTCTGGCATCAGCAAACCAGGGGCACAGAACAGAGCAACTTTGCAGATATCAGTCCGGGTTCGACCCTCTCTGAACTCCTATACCCCGGATGTAGACGAAGGCTGGATGCTGCCAAAAATCCAGAAAAACAGAAAGCTTAATATAATGTGATTGAGATGATGATACTAATGATGATGATGTTGATTATCCTGATGATGATTATGATGAGTAGTATGTAAAAGATAAAGAAGACTATGCTATATCAGCCCTTCTGACTACCTAATCCTAGAACACCTCTTAACCTCCCTATCTCTAGACATTACATCTCAAAGACTATGCCCTCCCAACCACAACCATAGCTGACCTGTTCTCGCCACCTGGACTATTCCTGGCCACATAGGATGTCAAGGCAGCCCCCCCGGTTCACCACTGGATTACCTTCCTCCCTCGGCAATTCCCCAGATCTCTCTACAAGGCCTCTCACTCCTGCCTATTGCAGGTTACAGGGCGACGCCCCAGCTCCGGCCAGCGTCGTTCTGGCATCGACAAACCAAGAGCCCAGAACAAAGCAACTCTGCGGTCCAGATTCGATCATCTCTGAAACTTTATATCCCGATTGAGGAAGAAGGCTGGATGCCGCCGAGAATTACAGAACGCCAGAAAGCATGATATAACGTAGATGATGATGATTATTACTCCTAAGATTGGTCTTCCCCTCCCCCTCCTTTCCACCCTGTCCCAACGCTGCCTCCGCCGAAACGGATTACCTAGATTACACGCAACCCATCACAACCCCAACATGGGACAGTCCCACCTTCCCCCCCCTTATCCCACAAAGTCATACAGTTCCCTCCCAAAGTATACCTCTGCCCTCCCTTTACCCTACTCTGCCCCCGCTGGTGTGAGTATCCCCACCCCAACCCCAGAATAAGGTAACCCACTAGCTCTGCTCGCACCCCCTCCAGGGCTACACCTCCCACCTTGTGTCACCCCTGCAGAGTGAAGCTCTCCCTTGATCCCCCTTTTCCATCCATCAGAAATAAACACGTATACTCGAGGAGGAGAATATAGACACCAGGAATCCAGCTGGCATTTCAGACCATTTCGGACTAAAGAAAAAACAACGAGAATTACGCTGGAGAAATTTTGAGTGCTTTCAAATGGCATTTGAAGACGAGATTTCTTCACTAATATTTGGAAAATATACAGATACAGAGATTCACAAATTTAGGTAATACAAAATACCACCTAAAAAGACAGGTGTATTAAATAAATACTTTCACAAGAAAATTTAGGTATATAAAAATACCATTTATGTTAGTTAGACTAGAAATTGAAGGTTTGAAGATAAGAAAGATCACAAATGTTTGGGACTTTATTTAGGATGTTAGTTGGAGAAAGCTAGTTAGATTCGAAATGAGATGATAGTGAGATGATGAAATTAGTGTTGAGGTTGATGATTAGATAGGCCGTTGACTAACTGTCATCAATGATGATGATAGTGAAGATGATGATGCTGATTATGATGATGACGACTGCCGATGATGATGACAATGAAAATCCAACCCGTCCTCGTATACCCACTTACCTCTATACTGCTAATGCAGATGATGATGATAATGATGATGATGATGATGATGATGATGACGACAGCGATGACAATGACGATGAAGATGACGATGACACTAAAGATCCATCCTCCAGTACTTGATATAAATGATGACCCTGATATTTCTCGCCATACTGCTGATGATGGCTATATCATTTGAACTGCAAAAGATAAACGTGATGACCTTGTACAGATCCTTCCTGATTATGCTGCTGCTGCTGATGATGATGACTCAGAACCTTTCTTCATAAAATACGCACTGGATGTCTCCTGCCAATCCTCCTTCCACTCCACGTGATGACACTCTCCTCTTCTCCACTTGCCTCTACCGACCTCCCTCCACTTGAAAAGATGAACGCAAGCTAAAGAGCTTGAGTGACTCGTCATGAAACCACACTCTCTATCAAAAGCAGGCTCCCCTCCATGCCGCATGCTAACCTGCAGCATCACTGGATGAAGTGCAGAGCAAGAAGATGGCAACAATGTGCTTTCAAGAGGCAGGGGAACACCCAGTAACGCTTTGATAACGTCCACCTTCACCATCTCATCAGTATTTGCTCGTCAGCGCCATACGCTCACGCCCGCTCAGCATCACGCGCGTCCGCATCCCAGCACGCACCCGCCTGCATCGCGCGCGCCCAGCAGCGCTCGCGCTCGCGCTCGCCCTGCATTGCGCGTGCCCAGGAGCATCACACGCGTCCGCATCCCAGCACGCGCCCGCCTGCATCGCGCCCGCCCTGCATTGCGCGCGTTTCATTCCGATTTGTCTCATTCTATCGATGGAAGTAGCCTCTCTCTATCTCTCTGCATGCATGGCTGGAAATCTCTCTCTCTCTCTCTCTCTCTCTCTCTCTCTCTCTCTCTCTCTCTC